TTTGTTTCCTCTGAGACAAATTGTTTAATCAGGCCCTGCCCAGAAGGAAGTACTTTCTCTCTTTAAGGATCAATCAATAAGTTACACTGGGCAGTACAGAGTCTGTATCTGCTGCAGCGTGGAAGACATACAGCCCAAGCCATCGCTCGCTGACGGTGACACTGTACCCACAGCAAAAATGAGGTAAGTGCACAGCATCCGTTCTTGTAGTGGCTCCCAGAAACAGTGGCTTTGGGTTGAGAAGGCTCAGCCCCACATCCTTGTTCAGAACCACACAATGGTTAAGGTTGGAAGGGACTGCTGGAGGTCACCTTGTCCAACACCCTGCTCAAGCAGGGCCACCTAGAACAGGTTGCCCATGACCACATCCAGACAGTTTTTGAGTATCTCCAAGGATGGAGACCCTACAACCTCTCCAAGCAACCTGTGCCAGTACTCCATCATCCTCACAGTTAAAAGAAAAGTTTCCTGATGTCCAGTTGGAGCCCGTTGCTTCTCGTCCTGGTACCGCGCACCACTGAAAAAAGCCTGGCTCTGCCTTCTTTACATCCTCCCTTTGGGTGTTTATGTACGTTTCTAAGATCCCTCTGAGCCTTCTCTTGTGTAGGCTCAAGAGTCCCAGCTCTCAAGCCTTTCCCCAAATAAGAGATGCTGCAGTCCAACATCTTCATGGCTCTTTATTGGATTCTCTCTCATTGAGCCATCTCTTGCTGCATCGTTCAGATGAAGGCATAGCCCCTCTTTCCTCCCCATGAGAGGCAAAGAAGTTTTCATGGTGGGGTTTTGGCTGGCTCTATCCTTTTCATTTCTTGCAGTCCAGTCCAGGGCCTGTGTCTGAGGTAAGAAGAAAGAACAGCCCTGGCTCCAGGCACTGGTGACTCCCTTTGGAGAACAGCAATCCAGGAATGAAGCCTCCCAGATGGTTCCCCAAAATGGGCTGATTAGAACAAAGATTTACAGGTTCTTTAGTAGCTTAAGTGCAAGGGACTTGTTGAGCAAGTGAGCAGAGCCCCATCCTCCTTTTTGTTTCACATACAGCTAGGAGCTCCTTTCTGCTCTGTGTGGGTACCACAGGACGCTACCCCACACATGCTGCCTTTTCATAACCCACATTTTCCTCTTTGTGGCAACAAACAGCTGAAGGAGAAGTTGGATGCCCTCCAATGCCATGTCACCCGGCATTTGGGTGTAATGGGCCATGTTGAACCTACACGCGTACAGCAGAAGCTGGCTATTGAAATCAAGCGCACACCCCACCAAAACCAGGCAGCACTCTTGGGGCTGCAGGCATACCTGTACCAGCTGAAAGGGCAGAACGGAGAAGCTCTGCAAAGCCTCAAAGATGCTGAAGAGCACAAAAGATGAGGAGCAGGCTTCTGCTGCTGGTTCTGATTGGCTGTGGGAATTATGCTTGGATTCACCACCTTCAGGCCTCTTATCAGGAGGCTGAAAGCTATCTGGAACGAATACAGCAGCTCTGCCCACCTCCTTAGGATGCACGGCTGATCCCGTACATCCAGGCCCAGAAAGGCTGGTCCCTCTTGGCTGTTAGAGCCCACAATGGGGAACGGGCAAGAGAGTGCTTTGAGGTGGCATTGACGCTCAAACCAGGGAACAGATATTTCCATGCTAGGCTTGGAGCGGCCCTTTACTCTTCCTGGAGTTACTTCTGGTATCCTGATATTGCAAGGAAAGCCATAAACCAATTAGGAAGAACTGTCCTTGAGCAGCCAAATAACTACAGAGCCAAAATACCTTTAGCCAAGCTACTTGTTCAAGTGCATATAGAAAGGTCAAGAAGAAAGTGCAGAGAAAAGCTCTGACCCTGATGTCCTCAAAGCTTCAGCTTTGTTCCGGCTGTGACTGTCTACAGAGTGAGAAATTGAGATAGTACAGCGAGCCCAGCAGCAGGATCCCAGTTACCACGTTCTCTACCAAGCCTTGGCCAAGTGCTAAAAGATGTAGTAGCTTAATGCAAAGAAGGAAAACAAGAATAATATATCGGAGGCAGCCATCAAGGACCTCAAGCAAATTCTTCAGAAACATCCAGACTTTGACCTCATGTTTGCAAAGCTGCAATTAGCAGAGTTCTATAGCACAAGAGAAGAGAAGATCTACAAGGAGCTGCAGGAGAGAAAGGACACTCTGAGCCTCAAAGGCCATCAAGCCCTTAATCTCTACTGGGGAAAGTTCATACTCTACAAGAAGAGATCACTTGATGAAGCAAAAGGAAAAGTTTATGGATGATTACAAAAATTCCCACGCTGACAGAAGAGAGGAAGGAGCGCACACAGGGGCTGACAAAGATGGCTGGCACCACCACAGTGACGATGCTGATGCTATCCACTGCTTCATCTAAGACACCAACCATCACTTACCTGCAGAATTTGCTGGAACCGATCTAGACTGATTATGAGAGCCTGTCTGGAGAAAGCAGAGTATCCTTCTTGCAAGGACTAGTGTTTATTTGTCTTTCCAAAAGCGGCCCCATCACCTCATGTAGATATAAGGGTTCTATCAGCTTCTCAGACCATCCCATTGCTTGTCCATTAAATACAGGCCTACCCATAACTGACTGTCCAAAATTTACACACACTGCCCTCAGTCCTGCTTCTCTGACAGGAGGGAATGAAAAAAAAAGTGAAGAATTTGGCTTATGGGGTCTGAGCACAATCCTCTGTCAATGTAGACCTGTGTCACTCCCTCGCAGTTGCTGTAGATCAGAACTAAGTGCCAATTAGGGCAATGTGAGAACTTAACTCCCTTCAATTATCAGAATTCTACCATTTGCAACAAATAAGAAGGTGGCTTCCTCCACAAGGTCACTAACTGTTGAGGGGTCTTGATGAGGGTGAAGCACTTACACACAGGACAGAGAGATGGTCCCTGGCCTATCCAATTGCATTAAATGCAAATGTAGGAAGAGCTAGCTGCTGATTAAGGAGCATACAGTTATACTTGTATCTGCGTTAATCCTTTGAAGCATGTGCGTGCTTGCCCCTGCCTGAACATAAAAGAGGGTTTCCTTTCTTGTGCTGGTACCCACTTACGAGGAATCACTAGGAACAACATATTCATCACTGTTTCTGGGGCCAAAGTGAGGCTTTTAATGTTCTTTGATCAACAAATATTTCAAATTCTTTTCCACATGATTTCTCCTGTGCAACAGCTGGTGTCTCCTTGCAGCCTAAAACAACCAGAGCATGGACTGCCAAAGCTATACCCTTTCTTCACAGTTTTTGCTATCCGTTCACGTTAGGGACAGCTCTTTCTCTGCAATGTCCTATCTACATGCACATCCCACTGCAGAACTAGTGCCCGTCCCTGCAGGCACAGGTGGGCACACACCACCCCCATGCGAGCATCGCAGCCACATTTCCAAGCACTGGCAGGGCCATCTCTGTGCCTAGCAGTAAGCAAGTGGGGGTGGCTTACTAGGGTGTCCCCAAGCCCCATCTGTCCCCAGAGAGTGGGGCTATAGGGACCAGGGCAGATGTCCCCCAGCAGGTCCCACTGCAAATCCCCCCGCCAAGTTTCTGCTCCAGCGTGGAACAGGCAAGGACCCAGTTCGGGAGAGGAGGCTCTAGAAAAGGACCAAGCCAAATGTGTCCAAGACACAGGATTTGAGGGAGGGCAACATGCCTTAGTGCCCCCGTCATGTGCATTTGGTGTGCATCAAAACACTAAAGGCCAGAAACACCCACCTGCCCTGGGGCCCCAGTCCCACTGCGGAAGGGGAACAGCAGCCCCCAGCTGCCCCATCTCCTGCAGTGGGCCAGAGCTAGGGTGCAAACATGGCAGGAGAAGACTTCACCTTCCAGACTCCACAACCAAGGGGAAGAGAGACAACCCAGGCTACCACGTTCAGCCCAGGCTATTTCACTTCCCGATACAATATTGGGGACCAAAACTGTTGTTCTCCTTCCTCCTCTGGACCCATGAGCCACAGCCCAGCGCATGATCCCACACCCCAGCAGCAAGAACTGCCCGGTTCATCAGTCCTTGGGGCAGGAGATACTCAGAGCACAGCACCTCAGCATTACAGCCTCCTATAACCCTACCCAGGCCCTGGATAAAACTCTGTAACACAAGTAAAAAGCATTAGCCAGAGAACAGAACCATAGGTCACATAGAACGTAATGATTTACTTAGCTGCACAGGTCAGTACAGTTTTCCAGAGCTCAATAAAAACAGCCACTTTATAAACTTCTGTATGCATTCCACAAGTCTTTTCACACAGCACTGGGCAAGGTCACATATCCCAATTTGGGAAAGCAGGGACTCCCAAAAGCAAGGGTGCTATTAAAGTATCTTTATTCCCTTTCACCAGTACGAGCAGCACTAGTAATTCATTTAGACTACCCAGGAATCCTTTGGGTTTGCATCTACAGGCAGTCCTCTACAGAATTCTCCCCTTGTAAACACAGTATCAGAAAACATTTCTTTAGAAAGAGTCACAGTCCCTCCAGCAGTTAATTAGACAGAGCAGCTTTTGCCCATCAGACAAATGCAACACTGCCATCCTCAGGATTACAAGCTGCACGACCACAGCGTGAGTCGTGTGCTGTTTGGAAGACTGGATTCTGACAAAGTTCAGTTGGGTTGTCACTGCTGTGTGAAGAACAACCTACAGAGTTTAAAAAAAAAAACAAGCCAAAAACCTGAAACTTATGATCCTTGTATGACTGTTCCACTTCCTATGGGTAGAAGACTGGATGTTATAGAAAAGTGTCAATATGTTCCTCTAGCATTTTTTTTTATTAACGCTTTGAACAAATCCTGCTAGTTACTTTCTTCACCAATACTAAATTCAGCACAGCATTAGATAATTAGATAATAAAAATACATTGCACAATAAAATCCCATTAAAAGTCTCAGTTAAGCTGAAGGATAAAAGAAAAAGGATCTTATTACATAAACTGCCAAGGGCTGCGGAAAGGACTTGCGCTTATTGTACTCGTGCATATTAGTGTGCAAATGCTAGGACGACATTAACTCCCAGGTCCACTTCACTTCAGCAGAGGAGAGGCAAAAAAGTTGCCCTGATGCCCAAGCTGGGTTGTTGACTTGCTTTTGCTCCCAAATCTAGTTCAAGAGAAGTAGAAAAATATCAGGTTTCGGATTTGGGATATAGAGGTCTAACACTTTCCCGTTCCCAGAGGTCATTCACCCAAATTTTACCCACCTCCTAAACAAAGTGTTCCTCTCCCTACCATACGACGACACTCATTAACCATTATGCAGCTGGCACTATTACTACAGTACTGATTAAGGGAGAGTTGACAGAGTAGTAAATCCAAGCTGCTCCCAGAACTGGGTCCAAAAGTCTATTTTTAGTTCTCCTTGAACACCCAAACAACCTGCAGTCTTCCCATCTCCATGATAGCACTCCATGGCACTTACTTGGGGGTGGTTTTGCTGAAGGTAGACCGGACCTTTTGGGACAGGGAGCTCGACGATGGTGTCTTGGAGAGCTGCTGTTCCGGAGTAGTGAGAGGTCCAAGCATGCTCACTGTCAAAAAAAAGAGGCAGCAAAGTGAGCAACGTGAGGACAGCTGAAGTTTTCATTGCCATGCAAGGAACATTAGACATTCCCTAGCATCTGTCAAAAATACTAGACAAATCTGGTATTTCCTGGCATGCTTTTCTTCCATCTTCCTTCATAAAGCATACAGGAATGACTAGCTCCAACATCCTCGCAGACAGCTTTGATCAAGGGACATTATTTTTAATACAGCAGCTGCACAGCCAATAGAGCAGCACCCCAGGTGTTACCTTTAACATCTGGAGTCTGTGGAGCGGAGTAGGCATTGACGTTTTCAATTACATGCGCTGGGTCAATGTTTTCTTGCTCCACCATCATCAACTGACTCCAGTAGTCCATAGGCAACAGCAGAAGACGCTCCACTACCTACAGAGACACCCACGAGTAGCTGATGTTACAAACCGGCAGGCAGCTTTGATACATTGACACCAGACAGGCATCACCTCAGCTCCCTCCAGCAATTCATTTGAATTCTCTAAATGGGATACATTCACCCAAGCCAGTCCTTTCTGCTGACCTACCTTGGGTTGCCGTTTAGTGTCTTGCAGAAGCGTCATAGGGTCAGGATCAGGTACCGCATGGGCAACTATTGTGGGGCCAAAGACTTTGGCCAAGTTGGTAATGTCCATTTTAGTCTCCGGGCTCTGAGCCACCCTGTATTAAAAAAAATTATTAACAAAGAGAGAATGTAGCTTCTCCCCTTTGCTTTTCATACAACTTCCCTTGTCCCACACACACTTCAGCCTCTGAATAAGCAGGTTTTTTCCAAAATGAAGACTTTATGCTCACAAGCAGTAACAAGAGCCAAGTAGAGAAAGCACCAGTGGCAACATCCCCTTTTCAGAACTACCAGTCCATTTGGACATACCTCTGCAGGTGGATCATGAGGAAAGCTAGGGTGTCCCTATTGGCCTGAGGAAGTTCACCAACTGCTTGGTACATAGCAGCGACACTGTTGTCCTCATCCAAGATTTCTGGGGAAAAAAAAAAAGTTTAGGTCTCAGAAAGTGGTCCCAGAGGCACAGCTGTAATATTCCCCTCACAGCAATAGCTAGCCTGAGAAACAAGGAAACCAGAAACTTCACATGCCATTTGTAATAATTTGGTATCCTGCCCAAGCACTAGAACTTGTTTCTTTCCTCTTCCAAAACAGTACAGTAGAAGAGAGATCTTCCCAGCATATTGCACATCATCAACACAGCTGCAAGTGTGAGGCCTCCACAGAGCACTGAGGTCTGCCAGTGCATGCTAAAGCTAAACCTGCAGCCATCAAGCCTAGGGAAAGAGTTGGAGATGTTATTTAGCAACTCCTTACCTGCAGCTTCCATAAAAGTCTTGTTTAACCGGAAAGTGAGAAGGGGTTCTTTCAGGCTGCGTAGAAAGTCCTTAAGAAGGCCACAGATAGCATGGATATCATCCACTTTACTGAGCAAAGGAATATTTTTTGCTCTAAGAAACTTCTCTTTCAGTTCCCTCACTGTCTTGTCACAGCCAGATATCCGGTAAAGGCCCGTCTGTTAACAGAAAGCATTGCTTAGAGGCAGAATATCAACTGCACATATAAAGCTGACGTTCTTCCACTCCCACTTTCTCTCCACACCTGAGCACTCTACACAGACACTGTTGTTCACTCAGAGTCACCCACTGAGCAGCACTATACACACACCATAAATACGAGATGTTTAGATTAACAATTTGTTTCCCTAACACCACAACCCATTTCATTAGCACTGTTTCACACCTCATTTTCATTTTACCTCATGCAGCCCTCGCTGCTCGATCTCATTAACACAGTGCACTATGATGGAAGGGATCATTGGAGGAGTAGAAGGGACGAAGTCCATCAAGGTCCCCTAAGAGGCAGAAGGGGAAAAAAAAAAAAATACTCAAGTCTTCAAGACATGGAAAATACTCTCTCAGGAATTCACAGCGAGATCTAGGCTTAAAAAACAAATATTTTCTTCTTCATCAGCCCAGAGAAGAGCAACACTACATCCATCAGCACAATGCTGCAGGATTGCCTACCCAGAGCTGCCATGTTCCCAACTCAACACCCTCCTAACATTGCATCCCTACCACCCACTACCCTGGTTATTGAATGATACATTAGCAAGCTCATTTGCATCTTATTATGCAGCTCTGAGCAACAGGAGCTCTTCTGTAGAAGGCAGACTTGTTGGAGCCTAAGCACATTCTAACTCTAACCAAACATTAGTCCGTTCGTGTTGGCAGCTGTGCTGCCCCAAGCTCACCCTACAGACTTACATCTCCAATTCTCACAGGAGTGCCTGTCAAGGTGGGGATACAGGGAAGAGGGCAGCGGTCACGACACTCTGGATGAGTGACCACACGGCAATCTCTGCACTTCAGACAGATTTTTCCAAATTTTACTCTCTTTCCACATGGAACACACGATTCTGGCTTGATAACCTAATGATTCAGAGCATACAGATGGGAAGAGATTAGTGCAGCATAGTAACTCAGCAAGACTTAAACTGGATAAGCATATAGGATAACATATTGCCTGATCCATGCAGGTAACTGGTACAGTTAATATTGACTTGAGATATAATGGTTGCTAGCCTCTTCTCAATAGCTTGATATCACACACACACACACATTTAAAAATGGAAGGAGATGCTTTTCCAAGTTCTTCCTGCCTATAGACCTACCGTCTTTGAAACAAATTCATGCAGCCTCACTCCCCCATTGTTCTGTGGGGTGCCAGAGCCATCAGTCTCCGGTTTGGATTCCAGCTGCTTACTGCCAATGCTTGACTCGCTGCTCCAAGGCTGCAAAGGACCTGAAAGACAGAAAAGGAAGAGTGTTGACTGAATGGAGTCACCCTCCACCCCGCATATTTTGCTTTAAAACCAAGTGCATCATAAACCAGAGGCAGCTGCCTAGATCCTTGAGGAGGTAACTGCAACATTTCAGGATAGCCTCCAGCCTACTAAGTAGTTGCTTCAGGACTGGAACAAATGGAGACATGACACCTACCACTCTTCCTCCGGCTTCTCAGACTATAAGGCACAGTCTGGATAGTAGAGATAGCTTCAATTGGGCCACCATCATTGGGGACCATGACAGTTGTCTTTGCTACTATGGATTCATTTCCCTGTAATGAAAAAATATGTGGTTAGTGACAGCAATACTGACAGGACATGGGATTTTCTAGTTTGTTGGCCCTAGAAACAGGTATGTAATATGACCAACTACTATAAATGCACACAAACCCAGCTGGAACCTCCATACCTGGTCCACTGTGGAGCCAATTGATCGAGTTTTCTTCTGAGGACCTGGCGGGCCTTCAATGAACTGCCTGGAAGACCGCTGAAAAGATACCATATATTTTTGTCTATGAAGCAGATATGCTGTTAACTTGGTGTTATACTAGTTCAGTATAACTAGGAGGACTGAACAATTGCCTGCAAACACCACAGACACTTTAAGTTCTTCCACGGTACCAGTTCTTCATGGCAACTTTAAGGTTGCCATGAAGAATCAGAAGGCCTCAATATACTGCTCTTTCAAATCATTTTCATAGCCAGCTTTATAATCCAATTCAGAAAAGACAGACAGAAAGGAGGAGAGAAAAAAAAAAAAAAAGAAAACCACCAAAAACCAGAAGGGCAACTAAGCAAGTCCCAGACTCTTCCCAGCTCTGCTAGTGATGATTTCAGGCTGTCCTTTCCCACCTGTACCTACTGCATACTACCAGCAGACCAGAAAAAGCACAAGCTCCTTTACAGAATAGAAAAATATTAACTTCCTACATCATTTTCCCCTAATCTGGTTGCTGTTAGTAATCTTCAAGTGCTTTCTTGCAAACTCTAGGCCATAACAGAACAAGACAAGCAGAACTCCACTCCAGTCATTTTCAGTAGACAAACAATGACATCAGAATTAACTTTGAATCTAAATACACAGCAGGTCTGAATTATAGTAGCAGCACATCCATCTGAAGTTTGATTCTGATTAGTAGCTCAGACATCATTATAGGTGGCTGCGAGATGACAGATGGTGACATTGTGTCAGCTAAGGCTTGAAGGGGAAGAATTGAACATACCCGCTTCTCTCTCCTTTTCAGTCTGACAGCTTTCACCACAGAGGAATCCCAGTCCTGTGGGAAATACACAGCACTGGTTAGCTCAGTGTAAATACCATACAGCCTCTGGCCAGGGCTTTCATTAAGTTTTAGCCAACAGCACACCAGAGAAATGCAAATCAGCTCTACCAGTTTAATACTACAGTAATCTAAACACAAGCGGTCTCTGAAGATTAACCCACACCCCTAAGGTTTTACAGTGGAAGAAAACTTTAGAACTTTGAGTTACATTACCAGTGACTCATCAGTCTTGTCAAAGCTGATGTCTGACAGAATTGAGCCAGATTCATCTATTGTAGACAGCCTAAATATCAAAAATTAGAAGAAACTTGTATCAGTTTGGCTTTCACTCAGCCATGGTTCCAGAACAATCTTACTGACTCAGAAGAGCTGTATTTCAAACTGGAATAAAAAGTAAAACTCTGTTGATATGAGTGCAATATGTGTCACAAAGGTACATGGCTGGATTGCTATCTGACACTTACATTGCTCAGACAAAATGCTATTTTTCTTACCTTTTGTTGCCTGAACCCCCTATAGAAACCTGTGGCCTGTTAAGAAAGGCAAGGGCAGACTTCTGTTCTTCACTTAGCTGAATACTCCCGGATGCATCACACATGAGCAGCTCTCGAATCAGTTGTATTTGGCGTTCCTGTAAAGGTAGATAATAGCAGAAGCTGCCACAGGATAAACTGCGTTTAATTACTGTACGAACCAATCTCAAGCGTTTGAGATGCCAGACAGGCTCTCAGAACTTGTGTCAATAGACAGCTAATGGCTGCAAAGCCCATGCTCTGACAAGTAATGGCAGCTCAGCTCCAAACAGCAGCCAGCTGCCTTTTTCCAGACCAAAGCAGAAGGCTACTACAAGGACCCAAGCCAATTTGTTGTTGTTGTTGGGTGGGGGTGTGTGTGTGTATGTGTCTGTCTCCCCGGAAAAAAGTTATCATGAGTGCCAGTCCTTATTATCCATAGATCAATGCAGTTTAATCACCTTGTCTCCACACTCTAAAGAGCTAACTGGTAATAAAGGAATTACTCACCAGCTTTTCACAGTCCGTTTCAGCTTTTTGCCTTCGTTTGATCTCCACATCCACTTGATTGCGAGCATGTTTCAGCTTCACATCCAAAGCACTACGTTCAGCTTCAGTTTTCATGAGAAGATCTTTGCACCTGCCAAGCTCATGCTCCGTTTTCTGCAATTTTCTCCGATGCTCTTCAAAGTTCTTTGCTAACTGAATAAACTCTGGAGAGAAAACAAACATCTTTAGCTACCCAGGAAAGCAGAGGAGACGCAGCAGCTCTCCTTTCACTGACAGAAGATATCTATTAATATAACCTGCTCTCAACTGAAGAGCAGAGAAGCCAGCCTTTTGGCAAATCCACCTACACTATAGATGTTCATGAAATCTTGCAGTTTTTCAGACCAAGTCCTTCATGCCAGTATCAACTAGAAGAGCTAGAACACGAGACCCTGTGTGGATGAAGTCAGCTTGCTACAAGCAGAACATGGCACTGCCTGGAAGTTCAGCCTATGACTTCATATTTCTCAACAATGAAAAAAAAAACATCAAATCCGACTACCTGTAGCAGTCTTATTATCCATAACTTCATCAACGGATTCTTCAATATCAGCTAATAATGTTTGTTTGCATGTTTATATTCTTACAGCAAAGACAGGACATCCCACTTCAGAACTTACGGTATTCGTTTCCTTCACTTAAAACTTCAGCCTGGCGCATAAGTTGATCATACAGACTCCGTAAGTTCAGCATCGCAGTCTCCATCTCCCTGCCAAGAAACCAGAGCTAAATAAACAGCCCAGCCCTTTCTTCCCACCTCCAAACAGACAACGCGTTACCAGCCCAAAGAAGAGAATCAGCTTCAGAAATACTGATTTTTAAGGCAAGTTTTAGAAGCTGCACGAAAAAAATACATCAAGAGTTATGTTTTATGGAGATATATGCATCTAAATTCTTTCGTAGGGAATGAAGATTCTCAACCCTCCAGTTTACAGATAGCAAAGCCACAGGGAGAGGCAGTATAGCTCCCCATCTTATTGCTTCAAACATTCTCCAATATACTACAGAGGCTCAGAACCCAAGGCAAGATTAGGGATCACAAACCACTCTCCTTCCGGAAGGCTGCAGAACACAGCTCATGCCCTATCTACGAATGAGTTGGTACTATATAGGCCACTAAAAATCTGCAAGTTTTCAGAGCTTCGTAAGCTAAAAATAGGAGCATCATTCTGGGGAATTTTAATACAGTTTTAAATTTAGCTGCATTTTAAGTTACAGCTCCTACTACAAATAGCCGTTAAAATTCAGACAGTCAGCGCATTTTCCTCAAACAGTAGCAACAATGGCACAAACAGAAGCAACGAAGAGGAAAGTCTCCAGCTCAGCAACACAGAAATTACTTTGCTAATGTAAGAGGTTGCTGGGGCACACAGGACAGCCTCGGCTAATGAATTAGCACTCGGAGCAGGTGCAGACGTAGTTGGGAGAGGTGCCAGGAGGGAACACAACACACCAGCTTAACGCTTAGGAGGCCACCGTGGAAAGCTTTGAAGTACTCTATTCGCAGTTACGGACTCTACAGACACATAGGTATCCCGGGATTTTCTGTATTTCGTGGACTAGGAGGTGTGGAAGAGCTCTCTGCTAAAAGGCCCTCCTCTGTTCCTTGTAGTCCGCTTAATTCATTGCACGGAGCACTTCTACAGTTTCGTGCCCTAATGACCAGCACCACGATCGTTAGCCCCGCGCCCAACTCCACGGCAGAGGCCGAGGAGGGCGAAGCAACAAGGCCAGCCCGTAAAGCACCCACAGCCGCCCTCCAAAGCGGGAGGCAACGAGGGAAAAGGTCTCTGAGGAAACCGGCACCGGGCCCGCCCAGGGCGCCGGCCCGCGCTGCACCAGGAAGGCGGCTCCCCTCGGCCGGTGAGGGGGACCCCGCGGCCCGGGCGGGGCCCGGTACTGGGACCCCGCCGCCTGTGCAAGGCCCGGTACCGGTTACCGGGGCTGGGACCCCGCCGGTTTCCCCTCAGCCTCCCTCACGCTTCCCGCGCACTCACCTTGAGCCGCCGGCTCGGCGCGAGCTCTGACTCCAACCGCCCAACCTAACCGCCCCGCACTTCGGTTTGAATCCCTGACGCCAGCCAATCCCAGCGTGATCCCCACCCTCCCCGGCTTCTCATTGGCTCTGCTCACTGGGAGGCTGAAGTCAAGCCGGGCGCCATGTCTGCTGAGGGCGCGGCCTCTCTGCTCCACTCCCTGGCTCGAAGGCGGACGGGGGCGGGAACGGCCGCGTCCTGAAGCTGGCCAGGCGCCATCTTTACTGTTGGTCGCTGGCCCCAGCCCGTGTTGCTTAGCAACAGAGCAAGCCGGGGACGCCGGCAGGGCCTAGGCCCCCGGGCCCAAGCGCAGCCATTGGCACCAGAGGGGCTGTTTTGGGGAGAAAAAAATGGTATTAGGCCCAGCCCCTGTTGTGATTTTAAGCAAAGCCATTGGCACACGGCGCAGGTGGGCCTAAGCCTCCCCCACACGCTGGTTCTGCAGAGCACCGTAAGGCCCACGCAAGGTGCAGGATGCAACCCATAGCCGGTTCAGAGCTTTAATACTTGACCGGGAGGCCATTTATTAAGTGTCATCGCTTGAGAAATATGATGCGTTGACTGATTTTTGTCTTTGAAATGTTGATCGGAGCTGCAGCCGGCAATCCATCCTGCGTGCCAAAAGGCAAAACCCCATTTCAAGTTGCATATGAGCCTTCCATTCGCAGACGTTTAATATGCAAACCAATAAAACACAAACCAAAACCCAACAATTACAAGAAGTGAAATCACATAATCATAAAATAACAATGCGTTTTAATCTTTTAAATCTGAAACAAAACAGCGGGTAATTGAAGAATGGATATTAGCAATTAGAAAGCGGAACTAAATGCTTAAAATTGCTAAGTGGAAAAGGGAGTTCGTAAAGCAGATTGCTCTCTAACATCCAGCTGCTGTGTCAGAACTGCTTTATTTAGGTTATATAGTCTGCTTTAACTTAATTAATAATAATTAATTCATAATAGATTGTAAAAAGCCTCAAGGTCTTCTGAAAAGTAAACATTAATGAGGCTTCCTTGAGGAAGTTAGTCAAAATTAGCTACATTTTATAGGGGAACAGAGGCCCAGAAGAGACACAACCCATCCTCCGAGTCAATGGCAAAGCAAGAGAAAGGCACTGACCTTGATATTTGACCTTGTGGCACGGCAAATCATTCAAAAGCCCAATTTGCCCCAGCCTGGAAAACGATTTGGAAGCTGATGGTTACACCTGGCTCTGCTGAGAGCCGCTTGTGCATGCACATCCCATCCCAGCACTTCTTGCACCCCCATTTCTGAGGAGGTTCAGCTGTTTCCATGTCAGCCCTGGGGCCTCCTGCAGCTCCTGCCTGTAATTAAATCTTCGCAGCTAAGACGTCTCTATTGGCAGATCATATTTATAGGCAGGCAAGTTGTTTTAGTGTCATTCTTAAGAGCTAAGGAGGCTTTTGCTCATAAGCAAATTCTCTTCTCTCTTAAATTGTCATCCGCAATCTTGTGCCAATAAAAAGGCACATTATTTTAGATTATTGCCCCCGTGGTGCTTGTAGTGAGTTACTGTGTTAGGTACTGGGTTTCAGTGTTACGCCAATTAGATTTCTTCCATACGCGTTCAGACGTCGTACTTCCAAATCCACCTCTGAAGTGTGATGGGTGGGAGCTCCAAAGGCATCAGGAACTGAGTACCCCCAAAAAGCTTCCCAGAAACTCCCTTGCTTGCTGGTATGATGTGGACATACCAAATGGGACGTGTCCTACAGCACATGCCACTTGCTCGGTCCCAGCCCCACTCCCTAAAAGCTTTGTAGAGTTTTTCTTTCCTCCTGACTGATGCATGATGAGAGCAGAGAGGTCAGACGCACCTTTCATATATAGCTTTATTTCAAGGGAGAAGAAAAGGCAAAAGGATTGAGGGCCTTTTCAGGAGCTGCTTTATTGCAAAGTAATTATATTCTCTTTTGTTTGTGTCGGGGAGGGGAGGGAGAAGCCTTGAAATGTCTCATCTGGGAAACCGTTAATAGAATTTATGCTAATTTGATGATTCCGGCGATTACTGGCGGAAGCACTTCACATTTTCAGGCAGCAGAAATTCTCCTCCAGTTCCTCCTGCAGTCTCGCTCTGTTTGGTCTTTAGCCCGATCGCCTTCTCCAGCTGCCGGAGACTCCTTTGCTGGGAAGCGCTTGCAGACCCCATGATGTGACTGGGATTTTTGCTTATGACAATGCCGATGGGCTCACTGGTGACCCCGTGCCTTGATCTTTTGGGGCAGGATGCAAAGAAGTCTGCCCCAGTGCCTCGCTGTGCCAGCAAGCAGCCCTGCAATAATGAACCTTTCCCTCCCAGCCTCATCCTCTGGTGGAGCTTCGCAAACACAAATCTCTCTGCCCAGCTCCTGCCTAATTTACTCCAGAATTGCAAACCCATTTGTGCAGCTTTGTGCTCAGGGGAAATCTTTATTAAGTTTCTTTTAATCCAAAACCAGTTAGAGCATGATAGTCTTTATGAAGAGCCATTCAAAAAAAAAAGGGGGGGGGGGAGCGGAACTAGAAACTTTTAACACAACAACCTTTCTCCAGGGGAAAAAAAGCAGAAAAAATTATCTTAGGTGCATTTCACTTGCTGTGTTAATACGGCACAGGTTTCAAAAAGGAATGACTCAGTATCATGAGGAAAATACCCAGCAGGCTGAGCAGGGAGGGCAGCCTGGCTTTAGCCAGAGGAAGCTGGACATTTTGGGGAATTAATTTCTAATTTCTCACGCCTGGCCCGAGGCGCAGGCCGGCAGATGGCATCACGCTCATGCCGTTGGGTGGGAGATGTGGGGCCTCAGCCATCCCTCGTTTGTGCAAAATATTGCTCAGCGCATCGCCCGTGCAGTCTGCAAGGAGGGTACCAAAGGAGCCGGGTTTGTGCCCTTGGTCCGAACGATGAACCAGGTTTATCTGTGATCTCCCGCCTGCGTGAACTCAGGATAATTCCTCCAGCAGTGGCTGGCACTGGGGTAAAGAGCACTTGGATGGGATCAGCCAAACCTGTCTGCAGCAACATGCAGTCCATCCTCTCTGCTCCTCGTAGCGAAACAGTGCATTAATGTCAGCAGAGAAGCCACGGCCTTATCCTGAACTCGTTAAAAAACAATGGGAGTCTCTATTGCCTTCATCTGGCTTTTAATGAATGACCTCTTGTCGCCGGGAGCTGCGTGCAGTGACAAAGGACCTTTGTGGGCTGATATTTATGATTTCATTTAAGCCGGGGAGTAAGTTAAGGGAGAGGGCTGGAAAAATAAGAGCTGAGCTGATGTTTCCTGCTTTAAACTCAAGGGATCTTTATCTAGTTTTTGTATTAATACAGTTGTCATCTCTTAAATATTTGAGCAACTCGTAGCCATGAACACTCCCGCGCTGGAAGGACGCACAGGTCATGCTCGGTGGCAGGGCAGGGAATGACTCCGGCTCTCCTGAGCCCCACACGTTCCTTCGGGCCCTAACACTGGGGTGGTGGGAAGGTTTTGCATTTTCCTAGTGCCCCCCCCAAAATTGTACACACATCAAGCACACCAAGCCCTGCTGTGAGAGCCCACAACCTGCTTGCGGGGGGCTGGCGTGCAGCCCCGGGGAAGAGTGCAGCCACCAGGTCCGAACAGCCCTCCCCGCTCCAGCAACTTGCCAACGCTGATAAATTTTTGCCTT